TTTGAGACTCAACTTTGTGTTCAACAATATTCAGATGAGATTAAAAATAATGTGAACAAAAATCAAGGGAAAATGTTTGTCTCATTCATTCGATTGAAAGTGATCAAGATGAAACTGCTTTTAATATTTAACCTGCTTGCCAGCCATTTTACACAACATTAACCCATTTCATTCAACTTTGTTAACTTCAAGTTACCTTTCAAGAGGTTTTGACAAAAGTTGTGCAAGTTGTTAGTTTGATGGAACTTTAAAAATGATGGAATCTGAATAAAAAGGAAAATGACCCAATTAATTTTCTTTACATGAGTTGAACATTCAATCATGATGGCAGATGCAAGTGTTGTTACCACTTTAAACCTCATCAATTGGTAACACATTTGGACAATCTTCATGGTTCAACATTCGATGTGCTATCATTAAAGCGATAATCTTGTGCCATTTTGTTCTCCTTTTCACATGGGATAAATGTTTCTTTTTCATGATTATCTCTCATCATTACCATCAACCCTGTATCGATATTATTATTAATAATGGTGCGTTCATCATTATTATCATTGATGGTATCAGTGACGTTACATTTGTTCCATTTACCTTTAATGATGAATTCATGAGGCGAGAAAAAAGAAGAACCAGAAAAATGTGAGATGAAAAGAGAGGGAATCAGAAGAGGTAAGGTTTAACGTTTTGGACATGAACAAGTTCATCTCAACAAAGTTTCGGTTCAATAACAGAAAAACTCTTTCACTTGATGTTTCTCTACAGAAAAAAGGCAAAAATTTGTGTTCAAATTACTCATTTAGTGGTAAATGAATGGATAGAGTTTGAAGAAGAAACATTTGGAAGAAAAATGATGAGGATAAAAAAAGATGCTCAACGATTGTAATGATAAGATTGATTTTCCGTTTGTTTGATTGCAAGGTTGGGAGGTGAAACTGGGAGGTAAAAATAGCTCAAGATTAAGATTAGTATGAAGTGATGCAAGGAAATTAGAAGAGAGTAAAAATTATCGAAACTGTTAGAGCAAATTCTGATTCTACCAAGACTGGGATGGAGTGAAAACGTGCTGGGAGTGAGTGAGCTGGGAATGATTGGTAGGAAAATGCTATGGAGTGAAATAGTTGCAAGATAATGGTGAAATGTATGATGTTATAAATGAATGTAGAAATTGGATATGAAAAGTTGACCAATCATTTCATTGTGGAATAAAAAAGAAAGAGAAGGTGAAAGTAATATCATTACCAAATGGAGGAAGGAAATTGGCGAATGGAAGAGAATGAGAATGATGAAAGAAAACTAAGGGTGAAAAATAAAGCAGATTATAAATGCTAGTCTGACAGATTTACGGATAAATATAAAGTTGACTAACTTTTGAGGGTAAAATTTGCACTGAAAATGAAAAAATTTTATCCTTTCACTTTCACCTTCCTGGACACCAAACGATAAAGCGCTTTTGTTCAACAACCTTTCCAGATAAGCATTGGAATAATGAGTAAACATGATAATAATGGTTCACTTTCAAAGTAACAAAATGTAAGCAGATAAAAAGGTCAGTTGAAAGTGATAAATGAGAAGGCTTGGCCTAGAACTTGTTTTGCTTTTCTTTTAAATCTTCAACTCAATACTGTTTATAAAGTTATTCATTTTGAATGAAAGTGAAAAAAAAGTTCGAAAAAATTTTCTCTTTGTGCTTTTTCTTTTACTTTCAAGACATCGATAGCATTTTAAAATCAGTCTGATTATTTGATGGACTTGGAAGGAAAAGTGGAAAAGTTTTCCAATTATTTGTTGAAATTGGACTGGGAGTGAAAAATATTTTGATGCACCAAGAATAACTTTTTATTCCATTATTTTTCTCTATTGAATCAATCATGTGCCCAATTCTCATGGAGAAAAAGGTAAATTTTTGTTCGACTTTTTTCGCATTTGTAGATAAGAATACAAATTGTCTAATTAGTTGGAGTAAAAGATGTTTTTTCTCATTATAATTGATTCTCTGATCAAGAATAATAATCAGTTGGCTGATAATTCGCTGATTAATCATAAAATGTAGTTTCATTATTACCTGAACAATCTGTTCATTCCAAGGCATATTTCCACCTTTGCCACTCTGCAAACATTCTGTAGTTTCAATGTACATCATGTTGTGTCTTTATGCTGAAACTCATGATGCTATATCCATGACATCTTTTCCAGTATCAAAGGGAAAAAGTAAATAAGCGTAGAAAATAAAAAAAAAGGAACAATAATATTCCATCGACATTGTCAGCATTTCCTTTTCCGAACCTTTTCCAGCTCTGATTCTGTTGCAACTGTTCATTCCCTGTCGAATACAGTTGTTCATTCTCTTGGATTCTTTTCAGGTTTCACTGTTTCTTTCCTCAATAATGATTTGAATAATACTCAACTGACCAAAAGACTGAGTTTAGCGAATAAAAATGGATCAAAATACAAATTCATTGCATGATAAACAAACAAACAACCAATTAGATTGGAAACACACACACACATAGAAGGGATCAATATTATATAATCATTCAATTATAGTTAATAATACGATTCCACAGGTTTATTACCAAGAATGGAAGAAATGAAACGTAATGAAACGAAACTAGCAATAATAAATGAGATAACAATAACTATTGTGCAGTAAATGGTAAATGTAATTACATAAAAATATTGTTATTCATCAATGAATGGTAATCAAATATTGCCTCCAAAAGCAAATGAAATGCATTATCAACCAGAAAGCGAAAATATCCTTCGTTAGGCGATCATAAAAACTGGAAATTCAAAGTTCTTCCAAAGTCACAATAAACTGATTTCATTAAAAAGCATTTTCAAAACTTTAACTTTTGATTGTTCGAAGTTGTAAAATTTTCCAAAGTTTAAATCGATATTTGCACAAACTCATTGAGTTTTTATAAACATTTTCTGAGATTCGTTATACACTAAAAACATAAATTCCCAAAGCTGAGATAGAAGTTCTTGTTCATGCAAAAATCTTTCAAAATGGAAACTTGTTTTTCAAAGTTGCAAATTTCCAAATTATAATACTCTTCATTCTTTGAGTTCTTTAATTCTTGCAACCAAAGTCAAGAAAATTTGAAAGAATAAATTATCGAAAAAGTTCATGGATGGAAAATTCCAAAAGTTTAAACTTGAAGTTATACATAAAGAAATGTTGTTTTGCGAAAAGCCATTGAAAAGTCGATTATTTTGTGATGAAACACTTTTTGCTGCGAGAATTGGATCCAATTGAATATACTCATTACCAGTGGATTATGCAAATACCATGTTAAGTTAGACAGGTGAGAATAGAGTTTACATTAATATTATTATCATTATTACTGTTAATGCTAATAAGGATAATAGACTGATGACCTGAATTTTGTTCTTGAGTTATTGAGAAGAGAAAATATTATTCATTTTCTTTGCTTTGCCCTTTTCTTTTGGGTTTTGTTTCAAAAGTGATGATGAATGTTGAAAGGCTGCAAATTGTCATAGAACCAGGAAAAAGGTTTACAATTGTGATTATATTATTATGTTGGAGAAACTACTAGTTAGGAGTATTCCCATGATGATTATAGATGTTCATATATGAATGCGTTTGGTCAGTTTAGCTTTTTTTAATTTGCAATAATTGACCAAGATTCGGTTAAAAGTGTAGATTGAAACTTTTGTATTCATGTCGTGACATTCCTTGTTTCATAAGGTTAACATTGTCATTCATCAAGAATTTGAATAAGCTGAACAAAAAAGATGATGAACAAGAGCCAGTCAAAGATTACCCTTCTATTACAAATTATTCAATTTATTATTAACATAGAAAAGAAAATTCGTCCCTTTATCTGTGTGCTTTACGATGTTAAATAATAATCAGCTTAATGAGAAGGACAATTTATGAAATTATTTTCTAATCAAATAATGGCATTTCATGACAGTTTGTGAATACATAAACATGAATAGTTAGCATTCTTGCTGGGAGTCGAGTAAAAATGAATTTTTAATTGTCTTTTTTTCACTCTCAATTGGTCAAAGATTTTATTACCATCAGAATGATAATTGAGTGTGGTTCAACTTCATTGAAACATTGACTATTCATTTTTGCAGTTTTCTCACCATTTGCAAACAAATTAAACTGATAAAGATGCAGTTTCGAGCATAAAGTTTATCATGGATCACTTTATAAGATGAACCATTTCGCTAGAGAATAAAGAGCGGAAAATTCATTAAAATATTAACAAGTTATCTTTTTTTGTAAGAAATTGCTTTTCAAATATTATTAAAACGCTCGACTATAATCAAAACTTATTGCAAAAAGTTTCTAGTGATATCTTGAGAACACAATAAGTAAGTATACGGAAACTGCGTGCAAGGATATTTCTTCATTGATTCAATTGACTGACAAGAGCGAATTTCTTGAGGGCATCTAAATTGCATATTTTCACCATTCAGTCGGTTAACGGAGTTTAAGGGAAGTCATGCAAAGCTTGGTTTTATCCATTTAGTGCTGGCAAGTTTTTGATATGCATTGACTGCTTCAGATATTGTCTTGATTTCAGTCAAATTTTTAGCGTTTAAAGTTTTTAAAGTGTGTGATATAAATCAATTATTTTTTGAACTAAAAATAAAAATAATTTTATCTTTAGAGTACAGTCAGAGCTGAACGAGACAGCTTGCAGAACTTTTGGTAAGACTAACATAATTCACAGTTAGCTCTGTAATGTTGCCATTCAATGAAGGTCGGTTTTTCCTTTAAATCGAAGATTAATTTCGAAACCCTTTTAATCATAGTTTTGTCCTTTAGTGTCTTGCTTTTCAAGCTTTTTGCTGACCTGGATTAAATTTACTTAGAATTTTTAATTTCAGAGTATTTCAAGATTAGAGTGAATATTTGAATAAACTTTGAATGCAGTGAAATTTGTGTTCGCGTCAAAAACAAATCTTTGGTGTGGCTCAAACTGTAATTTTTATTTGCTAAGAGCATAACTTGGACATACCTTGACCCGAAAGTAAAGATGCATTCCCGGTGATGTGACTCCAGAGGAAGTAAATAATTATCCTAATTAGTCACAAAATGCACAAAAACACAAGTTAGCACTGAAAGTAATCCATTGAACTGGCAGTTGAATAAAAAATGTGAAAAGGAAGTTAATTTAACAAATAAGATCCTCAAATGGAATGCACAATGCAAGCGAGTTTTGCTTTTTATTTGGCGCAAAATGAGTTGCCAAAACAAACTGTAAACTAGAGTTAAATCACAGAAAATTATTACAGATGACCGATATTTTAAGCGAAAATTGACTTTTTGAAAATCAAAAGTTCTACTAAAATTGAATGTGTACACTTTTGCCACCTTGCACTGGTTATCATCGAAATTTGAATGGTTTTCAAGTAATTATTGTTACCATGAACAAAAATTCGAGTGAATGTGTTGCTGAGTGTGTTTCGCATAAAATCGAAGCAGCTTTTTCTTTACAAATGTATCGCATCTGGTTCATTTCTGGAAACTATGAATTTCCATGATCATTTCTGAATGTTTATATTGCTGCTTCTAATCTTCAAATTTTCCTTTTCTCTCTTCTCACAAGATGGAGTCATCCGTTCAAAAGATAATGCAATGAACAATTTTATCAAACTAAATACAGGGCTATTCAGCTACTTAGTAAGATATTGAACGCCAATAACTTAGCAACCAATGATTTTCTCTGTAATCAGAAAGATTTGAACGCAAACTCTACGCAAATTGATTATTATTTTCGTCTCTTTTTCATGGCACTTTGGCAAACAATGCTAGTTAGGATGTTGCTTTCAATCTTGTGCTGTGAGTTCATAGGTTAATTACGTAAAAGTTTATTTACTCTTCCATCTCAGTGGAATGGCAATTTTTTGTGGATTATTGTGATTCTTAATCGATTTTATTTCATTATTGATCTTTATAAATTTTTCCAGATTTTGACTTGAAGACTTTCGTGAAAAGTCAGCAAGAAAAAGAAGTTTTGTGATACTCGAATAATGCATATTCAGATTGAATAATCTTAGTTTTTGATTCAATAAAAAAAAAAACGAAATCCAAAGTAACAATGAACATATCATTTGAAACAATATTAACTCTTTTATTTAAAGGTAAAGTATTCAACATTTTCGTGTTTACTTTTCCAATGATCTTCAACTTCAATTTGGAATCCATTGATAGAAGTTTGTTTGGAAATGTTGAAATTGCGGAAATTAAACTGCATAATTTTCCCTCAATTTTGACTTTTAATTAAACGATGAAACTTTTCTCTTCCCGTTTGCTGTTCTTCCATTCAGTCAAATTAATTATTCTACTGATTGTGTATGTTTCTTGTGATGGTGATAAACCTTTACCAATTGTTGGTACTCCTTGTGCATCACCAGAAGTGTTGGTCAACGGCTCTCCAAGTCCGGATATTCTTGACATGGTAACTGGTGGAAAGTCATCAAGTTTCACTTCAATTGAAGAGATTCTCTTTGTGGGACAATTGAATCCAAGTGATGAAAAGAGAATATGTAAAATTAAATGTATGAAAGGAGTTTGGGTTGGACCAATGTGCAGTTCGAAGCCTGGTAAGAATGAAAAAAGATTTTCCATGTTCTTCATTTCCCAATTTATGCTTTACCCCAAGTTCATATTTTCCCAGTTTTTTCAATTACAAGTCAAACATTGTTGAGAAGATCTGAAGGATTCTGAATTGTTCATGATTAAACTGTTTTATTGACAAAATAGAGTATCGATTACAATCACGATATTAAGTGAACATTAGATGTAAATTCCCAAAACTCATGAATGGATTTAGATATCACAACGGAATTTCGTATATGAATTTTGTATTCAGCCTTTACAATTCCAATTTTTGTATTTACGAATAGCAAAAGTTATCATTATGCATAGACTAATGGCCAGATTTGAATAGTTTTTTTATGAAACTATGAACTCTCAGTTAGAAAAAATTGTAAACTTTGAATCAAAATTCATGTTCAATTCAACCAGTTTACTTGATCAACAGTTATCGAACGAAGTAAAAGTTTTGAAATGGTTTTTTAATAGCATCAATGAATTGATTCCTGATGGATTCTAGTAATTTTCAAATGAATGATTCATTTTTTTGATAAACCCTGATGATTTATTAGTGAAGTTGATTCAAAGTAAAGTACAGAAATCAACAAATCTGAGTTGAAAACATCAATTATCTTGATGATCAGAATGATATCTAACAATTTTTCCTCATTACTTTGCCTTGTTTTTGTTAAGCTTAACGAGTTTTTATTTTCTTGTTACATTCTTAGGCTCAGGTTTATCATCTCATCTTGCCTTTTATACTTCTTTGTTTATCTACAGTCAAGAGTAAAACAAGTTTATTATAAGCATTTTACCAACAGAATTACCTTTCGTTGTTTTTACTCTTTCTTTATCGCTCATTTTAAACATTAATCGAGCAAAAACTAATCGTAAAACTTGGAATTTTTCATCATTTTTCCCTTGCTTTCTTTTTCTATCTTTTTCTTTATCTTTACTGAAATAGGAAGCGATGTTTTTGAACATCCAACTTTTAAAGAATGTCAATTGAAACCAAGATCAAATGAACTCGTTATTACTCACAATGTATCTCAAATTGTTTTGGATCAAGTTCAAACCTTTACAGACCAAAGTATCATTAAGGTAAGATTATGAGACCGCACTCAAAGCGAAAAAACTTTTTACTGTTTGTGGTCAGAAAATGAATCAAAAATGGTTTTATTGATAATGAGTATTAAGATTTTGTTCGGAAAAATTTAACACATTTCTGTCTGTTTTTATTAGGTGCGATGTAATGACGTTGGCCTTTACAAGTTCAACGGTTTTTCCGAGCTTCAATGTATCAAAGGTATCTGGGATCATCCATTGCCAAAATGTGAGGAAACAACAATGCACACAAATTTTTCGCGTAAGTTCGATATTTTTCTAAGAAAATCTTCTTCGCATGATAACGTGCTTACAACCGAAACACATCTTTATCAAAGTCACACAAACGAAGCTTTCATGTGAGCGTATACAAGATGCGGGTTTTCTTGGTCAGTAATCAATCGATCAAGTTACACAGCTATACGATACTGCAATGTGTATCCTTTATAGATAGCTTTATTAGCAAATCTTTTAGTTTGAAATGATCGTTCGAGCTCTTGCGTCTCTTCGGCAAGACATTTTTACACGTTTTTCTGACGAAACTGCGATAATAGTATTTTGAGATAAAAGTCGGGGTGTTCACGTTTTTTGCTCCTGATCTGATCATTAAATTCTGACAAATAATCTTAATGATTATGGATTCTTAGTCATATTTGCGTTCATTGAAGTTTGATATTTTCAGCTCTTATAACAATCGCAGTTCCCTCAGACTCTTGGAATCCAGTGGAAATGCTGATACGAAATGTTAGCTCTTAGAATAATATTTGAATGACAATTTCTTTCATCTTTATAGTCCCAAGAAATGTTGCAAAAACATTGTTTAGAAAATTCCATCTCTATCAAAAAATGAATCTTTGTAATGAAAAATATCTGAACCCTATTCAGCACAATTATTATGATTATTATTTTTTCTCGCCTTCCTTGTTTCTACACAAATATTTGAGCATTTAAATCTTTTGATAACTTTGAATGTAAACTAAATGAAACAAGAAAATTTTCTGTTCTTACAAGATTTATAAATATTTAAAGTTTGTTTGTTCAAATAATGTTGACTTGGGAAAAGTGTATTTCAATATTTAAAGTTATAGAATGAAAACGTTTTATTGTCATGAAAACAACATGACATTGAGATAATGGTCTATCAAGTATTGATGCAAGTAGAGATTTGGAGTAGAAAATTTTCTTTTCCTATTTATATACAATTTGATGAATTGAATTGATGATGAACTGGGAATGATAAAATTGATAAATAATTGCAAGTGAACAGTAAACTGTTAGTCTAGATAATTGATGATATTATTTTGCCGAGAAGAAAAAAGCCAATTGTTGGATAACAAAGAATTTCAATGAAGAAGAATCAAGCAAAAAAAAGTAAATTCTGCCTTTTTTTAGATTCAATGTAACTCTGTAAAGATGCACATGCAAGTTGACTTAACAATGTTATTTGATATTAACGAGCAGCAAAAAGGCTTATCTAGATAATACTGATTGGAATGCTAATTTGACTGAAGAAAATGTTCAACATTTTTTCTTCTTAAATCTTTCATTTATAAAATGTTATCAGGATTACTTTTTTTTCTTGTGAACTTTTTTTCTATCATGAAACAGAAAATTATTCTATCAAAGCTTAATTTAATCTTTAATTTGCGTCAACTTTGAAGCTAGGCACAGTCTAATTAAAGTATATTTTGTATCGATGTTAGTGAGGAAGAAAATTGAATCAAGCTTCAAAGTCGAAAAAGTCAAACACATTTTCGTTGATCACTTTATCTCGTCAGAATTGTTTTTTCTTTTCGAGTTTATATTCGTGAAAATGAACTTTTTGGTAGATTTAACCTCAAGAATTCAATGTGCTTCTTAGGTGTTTGTGAATAAAAACGAATGTTACTTTGAAAATAAAATTTTATTCTCACTTTTTTTTACTTCATCAATGATGATGATGTTAACCATGTTACTGTTTGTTTTTGTTTAATCTCAATCTGGTTCATGTTCATTCAATCATAAACTTTCTTTTCTGTTTCATCTCTCAGTTGACTCACCTCCATCAATTGTATATAGTGTGACCTCGGGTGATATTGGAATAACAGATTCTGGTGAACTTTTGGTAACCCCAGGAACCGTTCTGCATCTTGATTGTTTATTTTCACGAACAAATGGAGACCCAGAATGGACTTGGACAATGGCTCAAAGGTATTTTATCCATTATTGCTCTATTTTGTGAAACCATTTTTTTCAAATTTTTTCTGATTCTTTTCAACTCTTGACAAAATTTTCAACCACCTTATGAATCAGTCATTTCAACTTTTTTTGACTTTTTAAAAGCTGATGCTAGTTAGCTGTCAGTGTCAGACAATGATAATTTTCATCATTTTGATAACTTTGAGTAATTATTGAAATCCAATTCTTAAGTTTGCCTTTTCAATCAAAACATTGAAAGGTTGACATCCTATAAAAGAACCAGAAATTTTATTTAATTTATAATTAATAAAAGTGCATTTTCGATTATGAATGGTCGTAAAGCTCTTTTTGTCGAGTATACCACAATCAGTCATCATCGAAAAGACCCAATTTTTTAAAAAACTATCGTCTGAAGCAAAAATTTAAAAAAGTGAAATCTACAGCTGTTGTCAAATTCCATTAAAATGTTCGCGTTGTCGAAACACTATCTACTGTTCAAAGAAGTTTGCTGCTTGGAATTTCCTTACGAGTTAAGTGAGGGACTTTATAGGTTTGTCAACTAGTGTTGGCCGATCAAGCAATTCAAGTCTGATCGATTTTCTTGGTCATAGAAAAAAGATAAATCGATTTTGTCGATTTCATCGATTTTATCGATTTCATCGACTGTTCGATCGTTCGGTTGTCCGATCGTAAGTTTATTAAATTGACAAAGTATAAGAAAAGACGAGTTTAAATGTAAATATCAGGCAATGAGTCAAGAAAAGATAGCAATTCAACATTTTTAGGCTTCAATCCGTTCCGTTGCTCAGTGATTAATAATCCAATTTTTGAAAATAAGCGTTCACACGGTACTGAAGGGGCTTGCATAGTTAGATATTTCAATGCTAGATTGTGTGATTTCAGAAAAGGTTAGATCTTCTGATCTTTAAATCTTCGAAATCAAAAAATTAAACAACTATTGCCTTTTGATTAATCAAAGGATTCTAAAGTAGCCATTCCTGGTTAAATCGATCTCTTTATTTTCTTGATCGATCTGAAACAGAGGAGCCGATTGTCGATTTAAATCGATTTACGATTGATCATAACCCAACACTATTGTCAACCATAAACGCTGAGTCCATTAGTGCTATACTAAATATCTCTGATCCAGAGTATATAAGACAACTTTTACCGCCTTTTGTAAAATTTTCTGACCAGATTTTTTCATCAAAATCATTTTTCTGATACAACTTTTGGCCATCAATCAGAAAATGGACTTATTTCGTGACATTTTTTTTGACTTTCGTGACTTTTGTTTATGGAATTTATTCGCAAAAAATTATAAATTCTATCTTATTCTAGGCATTCGTAAGCAAAAACAACTTAGTTTATTGGATCATATTTTGTCTGAGTAAATGTTCTTGTCTTAGCATTGAATGCAACAGATGAAACAATAGATGTACCTGACTTTTTCTTTCATTTCACGTTTGTTTGCAGTAAAAGATGAGTTGATCTCTAAAGTCTTCCTGAGTGAAACCCGCAAAATAGCCTTGTACGAACTTCACCCTGAAATATAAAAGATAAGTATCGGCCAAACTTGCATGACACAATCTTGGGTTAATCGGCCTATCAAGGGCTGAATAAACAGCCAATAGAAAACATACCTTTTAGGAAAATTGCCTGTATAAATAAAAATTATACGAATTTGCAGCCTCAAGTTTGTCCAATGATAAAACCACGCTCAAAATCTATGGCTGCACCATTAATGCTAATGAAAATTTTGTTAGCATGAGACGCTGCGCCGAAAGTTCAGGAGCAAATGAAAGGACTATGTCCAAAAACTTCGATTTAACCGCTAAGAGTTGAGACTTTGTGAGCCATTAGGGGTACAAAAACTGAGTCTATCAGTGCTATTTGAATTTTGTTCGAGTCGCCAGTTTTCGATAAAATTGAGGTAAAATTTGAAGCTTCGATCGCCTTTATTTCAATAATAAAGCCAGATTTTTTCATGAAAATCATTTTTTTCTGGTGTGATTTTCGCTGATTAACCAGAAAATGCAGTTATTTTCAATAAAAAGTTCTCTGTTCAGATCAAAAACAGATCGCTTCGATTTCTTAAATGCGAAAAAATTGGCTGACTTAACATGTTCACCCATCAGTTTTGCCGGTAAAAAAATAAGTTTCAGATCTCTAACTCTAGAGGTTACAGGAAGCGCTCAATTTAACTGAAAATCAAAGTGATCTGTTCATTTTTTGATCTGAACAGAGAATTTTCATTGAAAATAACTGCATTTTCTGGTTTATCATCAAAATTTACATCGGGAAAATGAGTTGCATGAAAAAAATCTTGTTTTATTATTGAAATAAAGGCTATCGAAGCTACAACTTTGACCTCAATTTTATTGAAAACTGGCGACTCAGACAAATTTTCAATATCGCTGATAGACTTAGTTTTTATACCCCTAAAAACTCACAAAGTCCCAACTCTTAGCGGTGAAATCGAAGTTTTTGGACATCGCCCTTTGCACGAATTACTATTACGCATCCACGCGAAAAATTGCTCGGTTATCAGCAACTTTTTGACCATTTTCTTGTTTTTTTACACCGAATGATTGGCAGAATAACTTCAGAATATCACAAAACACCTACTCAGAATTTTAAAATAGAAATTTTCCAACTCATTTCAAAATTAATCAACTTAATTGAAAAGGGCATATAACCTAATTCACCACATGGTGAAGATGTAGCATCAGATCAAAACGCAACTTTAGTCAGATCTCCACCTATTGATCACTATTGTTTAAATAGAGGCCAAAAATGACACGAACTTTTTTTCAATATCTGTAACTCAAAAAGTCGGTTAAGAAGGAAGTTTACTATTATAAGGAAGAAAATTATATTTCAATCCATCAAATTATTCCGCATTTACCCAGCTACCTACAAAGATGATGAGTCTCGCTGGAAAATGAATTAAATGATTTCGATAAGCTCGCAATTGCATATTTTTTGGATTTTTTGAAAAATTCGCAGCATTATGAAGAGTAACGTTGATAATATTTGCATTTGCAAATGATTATATCTAAAAAGATTAAGTTTTTCTAAATATCACTTCTACTTGAACTCTTGATATTACTCGATGAAGCTGAACCAATAATGTTTCATTAAAAATAACAGCTCCTATTTTATGCTTATTTTGTGTTTATTCAGTTTATAACCTTTGATTACGAATAACTTGAATAACTTATCGATAAAGTCGAGACGTGAACCTTGAACTATCCAATTACTGAGATAATTAACAGGTAAATCATGATATTTATACTGATAATATTTTATACAATCATTTACAAAATTCTTCATTTTTTAGTGGGTAAGTTTAACCGAAATTGAAGATAAGAAAGGTAGTAACGCAAGAGAGAGAGAGAGAGAGAGAGAGAGAGAGAGAGAGAGAGTAAAAAGTCCAGAATATTGAACTACTTGAGAAAAGATATCAGCTCGAATCATCAGCTTGGTTGTTAGGAGCGTAGCTTTTGAAAGAAACTGCCTGTTCAAATCGAAATCATTTGAAGCTTTCAATTTATCGAATTAAACAGAAGATCTAGAAAAAAGCTTTTGAAGAATCAAAAATGGAATGCAATATGACAATGTTGCCATATTTGGATAACATGCGTTGAAAGAGTACTAGTCATAAGTTGAATAATGAATGACGATTTGATATATGAGTTTTTCAGACTTGGCTATGATTTAACCTCTAACTCAACCATGAACTATTACCGGATAACTGCAAAAATGAAGGATGAGTATAGCTTGACGGAAAACCCAAGTCACTAGATGATCAGATCAAATCGAAAAATAGTCAAATTTAATCTTACAAATAGCTGAAATGGCTAATAAAAAGATCTTTCAGATTTGGTTCAACTCAGCTTACAAACCGTTAAAGAGTTTTATTTTTAATTTTCCCTTTACAACTGTCATTGTCATGTTTCTGGCTTAACATGTGTAGTTTTGCATAACGCACTTATATCACATTTCCAACTGAAACCTTTGCTCACATAATGCTTACTTAAAGTTGAATCAAACGCCATTTTGGTATAATTGAACCAATCAGTATGTGATGGAATCAGTTTATTTCAAGATTGAAAATAAAATACGGGCTTAATTATGACTCGGATGCATTGAACTTGTTTCATTCAATTTTTATTCTTCTGTTAATAGAGACTATAGTCATTCATGTTGATTAATTTTTCGTCAAGACTTTCACTTGCAAGTTGACGAAGTTTGAATTTAATTATGTAAGAAAATTTGAATGTTATCTTCTCTGTTCAGGAAAAGACAAAATGGCACCCAAAGAAAATGTTATCTGATTGAGAATGTTTAGAGAAGATCTTGAGTGAAAATATTTTTGTCTCTTCTAAAAATAAGGTTGATTCTTTCAATGAAAATGCTGGCAAATGATGTAAACAATGTGAGCCTGATAAAAAGGGTGAAGAATAATGAATGTTGAGATTGGTATTTGGTGGTAAAAGGGAATGTTGAATACTCAGATTATTGCGTAGTTGCTATGCAATCGAGTCCAGTATATTTTGTGCTAAAGAAAAGGTGAAAACAGAAAATGCTTATGAATAGAACAAGAAGAAAAAAAAGTAAGATTTTCTCTCTTATATTCCTTAAATTATTCTATTCTTTTGAGATGAAAGTCTTGAATGATAAAGGCAATGCCAGTTTCCAAAGATTTTCATTATATACTGAATAAATGTCAGAATATGTATTGAATATAATGTTTGACTAAGAGCATAATAAAATCTCTGGGAATATCAGAAAGTTAAATAACGAATGATCAAGTGAAAACTCGAGTTTATTCTTGAGTGCGCAAGTTTATATGTTTAAATGTAAACCTTTTTTTCGGCCTTTTCCATGAGGAAAAGTGGAAAATGCAAAATGTGAATAGAACAGCTTTAATGTTCCAATGAGGCAAGTTAACATGGTAGCACTTTTTGAATGAAATTTTTCACACTTTTCTTTTCTCGCTTCTCAGACTAAAAGTGACTAAATTTTTCAATATAATGTTGGATATAAAAAGCACAGAGTTTTTATTTGATTGAATATGTTTAGACTTTTGCTTGCAGAGTTGTTCATTATTTATCAAGGTATGGTGATTTGTTTCTATTTTCACATGGAGATAACAGGATTACAAGTGGAAAATGCATATTGACTAAGCATGTTAGTTGGTTCATTTTTGCTTGTTCAATTTGGTTCTCTAGGATGAAGTGATGATAAGACAACAAAAAGCTGAAAAAAGGCTGCAAAAGGCTATAAAAGGCTCCCAGCTAATAAGGAGTGGGTGAAAGGCATCAAAAGATTAATAAAAGGTGACAATCAACTCTAGTAAAGGATGAGAGTTTCTATCAGCATGCAAAATTCAAGCGAATCGGTGAAGAGGCAAAATCTCAATGGAATCGGCTCTCATCCTTTGCTTTTTATACATGCATAAAGATAATGATTTTGTGAAGCCGTTTTAATGGCGCATATTTAAAAACATTTCGTCGACAAAACTTTTTAGCAAAATGGTTTAGCCTTGGCATAGCAGTCAATGAGAGATGTAATATGAAAGCGATGACCTGCAGATCTTTGCAGACTCTGTCTTAATGAAGAGCTCATAATGCATTAAAAATAGTGGAGACTAGCAAAATTTTGCAGTTAAACTTGATTTTACACACTTGATTTTGCACGTAATGAAAATTTTTACAATCGTTACGCAAACATTGTGAAAGTTTAAAATCGCAACTTAGTTTTAGTGCAAAATGAACAGTTTAGTTAAAAATCATGGAAAATTCAAGTTTAATAATTTAAAAAGAAAAGGTTGCACGATTTCATTCACTGTTATTCAAATGCGAAATCACAATATCACATATTAACGATTAGAATTGTAGAATATTGAAATTTCTTGCATTAAAAGTTCGTTTTTCCATAAACGCAATCGTAAAGATATCCAAAAATAAAAAGTTGATTCCAATCGAGTAAAGTTAGCTAGAAAAAGGTAAAAATGAGTTTTTGTGTCACGATATCTTTACGCTCGTAAAGCATAGACATTTCAATAGCAAATATCAGTAAATCATCATTAAGTTGCAACTTTTGGTACTTTTCGAAGAGAGTTTTTAAAGAGAATTTTCCGAGTTGAGAGATTCGGAAGAAAATGGTTTCAGTGATGGCAAACAAGATGAGTTTCTTTTGAATTAATTTGTATTTTATTCTTGCAGACAATATCCAACTGGATGGGCTGTAAGTGAAGACTCGCGAAACTGGAAATATCGTTTATCTGTATATTACACAAATGAAAAAGACTCTGGCCAATTCAAATGTACCACACCCAAAGGACATTTTAATAGCATTTCCATTAAAGTAAAAGGTAAGCCATGAACAACTAACACTTTGATTTCATAATTTATTAAATCATCAACCTTTCACTCGTCTCATTGCGACTCAAAAGGTGCAATCTTTCCATTGACATAACAAGCTTTCAATACAAGACTCTTTTCAAAATGGTTTACACTTTTAAACTTTATTTTACTCTCGAGAGTTTGTCAACAATGTTACCTTCAACTTCAACTTGTAACACAATTGCAATCATTTTTTTTCGTTTCCCGATAAATGTTTAAACAAGAGGTGAAAACACGAATGAATCCAAGATTCGAACTTGTTCTCTCTCCTTCCTGATAGCGATATGATTTATTAATACATTGATTAGCAATTATAAAAATAGTAAGTTGACGATGGCAAAGCAAGTTAACAACCATTGATTATACTAATAATGGTTACCTGGAATCGTGAGAGAGTAAAATGTCAATAACACATTTCATCTTCTCGCCTAATCACCATCATGTAAGTGGTTAGAGTTGGAAAAGGACAAGAAAATTGTATTATGAATACTTGTTGGAATGATGAAATGGAGGAGGAAGAAGAAGAGAGGCAAGAAAAATGTTGTAAATGGTTCCATGAATGAGCAAAGGAAATGTTGGAATATCATCGATCACAATTCTTTAACCAACAAAATTTTGTTTTTTCTTTCTCTTCTTTTCTCTACTTTTCTATTCATCATTATTTTGCACCCAACATTTGAGCATTCTCAAGGTAATAGTACAACCAATTTCAAACAGAAACCCAAAAGTGTTTATTATTATCATTATCAATGTTTATGCTCGTCTAACATGGAAATAATGTTTACTACAAGACAACATGAATTGAATCACATGATTATTTGCCAACTTTTCAGTTCTATAGTTTTTATCTCTTTTCTCTTCATTCTATTATCTCGATTGTTATTATCATGTTACAGAGTAAAATGTTCAATATTCACTTTTACTCAATCATTATTGAATTTTGTTTCTCAAAAAGAAAATGTTTTTGAAGTAAGAGAAAAAAAACAAGAAAATTATTGAAGTAATAAGAAGGAAAAAAAACTATTTCTTTTTGTTGGGAAAAAACAAAGGAATATATTATTCTTTCAAATTCCAAGAATTTTTGTGTAAACATGAGTCGACAGTTTTATCCAGTTTCTGTATTCAATTTTTATTCCAATTCCGAGTTCAAGTGGTTTCCCATCATGAAATGGTCTTTTTATCTTTTGCACTTCAACTGTTATACGATTCACATTTTCTTTGGGTTTACCTTTTTTTTACCCTTTAGTTGGAATCAGCTTATTGGCTTGATTTTAGCTTCTTAATGATACGGGATAATAAGAAATTGTGATTATCTTGGGTCATCATGAGAATCATCTGAAGATGCCAATTATATTTGCAAGTCTTGCGAGGATTCCTCAACATTTGCTGCTTTATAACTTGCAGATTTATTATCATCATCATTATCATCCGAACTCATTAATGTGATCAACAGAAATGATGGAAACTCGTGAAAAGTCAACTTTTCTTGTCATCATTTTAATCAAGCTAAATGTTGAAGGAAAAATTATCCTTCAAGTTAATGAGAAGCTTAACATAATGAACTTGGTAACAGCCAAAATCACTTTCAAAGTAAACTAAATGCTTTTCCTATTAGCAAATCTTGTCCAATATTTGTATCGATATCAAGTGAATTGCCATAAAATTGGATAAACCTGACAAATTAATTGTCTCTTCATTGATATTGTGAAAGTGAAAATAAACGTTTCCAATGAAAACCCAAAACTCGACGTCTTTCAATGTTATTACAATATTAAATGTCAATAATCTTTACCAAAGATTTTATTGAACATTAAATTTTTGCTCTTTTTTTCATTTAAAGCATTTGAACTTTGATGAGTTGACAAAATGGAATAAATTGTTGAGGAAAATATTTTTCTATTGAATATTCTTTTCTCCTGTTTTTACGCTTGAAACTGTCAGGTTGATTTGTTGGGATGGATTTGCAAATTGATAAAATTGATTCTTTGCTTTTAAACTTATTTTCCAATAAATGACCAGTCAGTTGTAAAAATGCATTACAATATGTTTAACAACATTTTCACTCCCAGTTAGCCATTTTATTGATAGCGTCCATCTTTGTTGGATAAACATTTACTTGTATTAATGTAAACATTGATTTTGACATTTTCACTTGAAAACTTTGTTGCTTTTAAAATGATGATAAATGCTCTTCTTTGAATAGCTTTGGAAGAAGAAGAGCAAAAAAGGTGAAAAAACAAATAAAAGAAATTGATATTTATTAAAGTTTATATTAAAAAATGGGAAATAATAATAATGTTAGGAAACTCGTTTCCATTAGAGTTTATCTTGTCAAAATGAAACACAAAGTGTTGTGGTTAAGGTAGAAATGTTGATACATTTTGACTGTTTGTTGAACACCATTGACCAAATAATGTTGCAGCAAATAATAGTGATGATGAGATGGAAAGAAGAGTTTTTTTCTCATCATTTCAAGTAAAACTGGGAATGAAATGAGATTTACAAGATGTGAAACAAGTACTGATGCTATCCAGACAAGGGAAAGATAAAGAATGATGAAAGTGAAGGTGAAATGGGAAAGTCAATGGGAACAAGAGCGATCATTGTTGAACACAGTTCATCTTGAAAATGAGCAGTCCAAAGAATAGGTTAGACTGTCAGATATGGTTTTGGTATAAACTAGAGAAGGTGAAATAAGAGTTTATATTTGTTTGGTTGTAAAACAAAAAATTGAGGCTCTTGGGAGGTGAAACAAGGTTGCTAACAATTGTAGCTGGGAATTTATACCTTCAAGGTATTGAGTACATTTTTGTTTAACAAGAATATAGTTGAATAAAGAAGCAATTTTACCATTGAAAAATTGTGACCAGAGGAACCTGCTTTACTAATTTATTTTGTTTCATCTTTCATTGTCCTTTACTTTTACCTTTACTGGTATTGCTGTACTTGATGCTTGCTTTTTATTTACTATTTGTATCAAAAGTTATGATGAGCAATGAGCAAAGAAACTAGTAAAATTATTTTGCCAATAATGAGGTGGAAAAGATCAAGAAAATGGTCATAAATTTATCTCTAAAATTTAGGTTTCAATGGATAAACAGCTTGCTATGGAAATTTTAATCGAGCTAATGAATGTTTCATTAGAGCAAAAAAGGACGAAAGCAAACTTTTATTGCTATTGTAACTTCGTCAAAAAGTATCTCCTTTAAAGTTGATCAAATTTTAATACAAATGAAAGTCAGGTCAGTCAATGACAACTGCATTTCATTTTGGCAAACATTATTTTGAAAAACCACAGCTTTTCGTTTTTTTCTCATTTTTCATCAAAAATAGTTTGGAATTGTTCATTTCTTTTTGACAGCTTTCAGTACTCTTCTTGTCCTGATGAGTCCATCATTTCTGAGTTATCAGAGTTGAAGAGCTGCATTGACATAACATTTAATTATAATCATCATCATCATTCTTTAACCAGATAATGTTCATCTACCATGAGAAGATGACAAGAGAATGAGAATGCGAGAAAATAATCTCAACTGAATAAACTTTCTTTTACCACGCAATAAATCTTTTCTTTACATTTTCTTTGTCCTTCAAACCCTTCATGCTATTTACCTGTGCTTGTTTGCTTTAAATCATGATTCTCTGATGATGGTGATGTTCTTTGCTTGAAATATGATTCACCTTTATCTACCAGAACCGCTAATTTAGTTACATTACCACGTGAAACTTGAGTTAATAACTTTTCTTTTCCATTTGTATCTTCAGGAATTACACTTTATTCAGAAAAGGATTATTCAATCTGATCTGATATTGCTCCTTGTAAAATGGTAATCAATGATTTTGCAGGATAAAAAGGCAAAAGAGAAAAAAGACATTTCTATTCATCATGCAAGATGAATTTGATAGTATTTCAAATGAAGAGAATCACTTGAATTAGAAACAATTAAGACGAATGTTTCAGCAAATCTCTTTAACAACATTTATTAGGCTTTTAATTCAAGAAATTTGAATAGATTTGATTGGAAAAAGCACTAAATGAATTGATCTTCCAACAAAACGAAGTCCTAATATTGGAAAAGTTATAAATAAAGTTCCTATTCAAACAAGTTAGTTAGAAGGTCATCTGAATTAAAAGTTAACTGTGAAGTAATGTCCTTTAAGCATCTACAAATACGGGTTCAGAGTCAAATCCAACAAGGAAATAGAAAGCAAACTAGAAAAATTGAAACTCGAGAAAGTAGATTTTCGGTGAATGATCTCAAAACTGTGCCTTTGTTTCAAGAATATTAAACCTTTCAATCATCATTCTCTATCAACCAAGTTATTTTATTGTATAATAAAACTGAATACCAGAAAGATTCACATGCACCTTCAGTACCAAAAACCCATCTATCCACATCTAACTCGAAAGTCGAAATTTCTGTATCCTATCCATTCATTCGAGCTTCTTTACTTTGCGTTTCTAAATCAGAAGCATCTATGTTTTGTCTTTCTCTAGATTACTTTCGCTATTTGGGCGCATTACCTAATATATGGGCACGCTTTATTGTTTAAAGCTAAAGCTATTGATTCAGGTGTTTCCGAATATTTTGTCCTTTTTATTACATCAGCAAAATACTCGTGTTTAACATTGCCAAGTCTATTCTGTTGGGAAATTGATGTAAAGTGTTAATAAAAGTTGATGAGAAAAACGAAGTAAAATGGTGAAAATAGGAATAAATAATTATCGCTGAGAATATCGAGTTTGTTGCTTGGTTGAGTCTTAACTTTTGATGAAAAACGAAATTGGTGAAGAGAATAGAGAATGAATTAATTCTTCCATTTCAATGAAAATTAATTAGTTTGGTAAAATTTAATCAAATTGACTCTATTATTATTTACATATTATTTGACTCTGTGAGCAGGAAAATTGTGCTCGATCAACATTATTTTCAACATTACGATGAAAAAAAACAATCGCAAACAAAAA